GGATAACAATGGAGTAATAACAGTGTTCCGAATGACTGGAAAGATGCTGTCATGGTTGTTTTGTACAAGGGCAAGGGCAACAAGGATGACTATGGAAATTATCATGGCATATCGCTGTTGTCGGCAAAGTTCTTTATGGAATTCTGCTAGATCACTTGTTGCACCACATTGCTAATGATGCACTTCCGGAGTCACAGTCGGGCTTTAGGGCTGGATGTGGCACTGTAGTTATGATCTTCACAGCCAGACAACTGCAAGAAAAGTGTGTCGAGTAGAATATGTATCTCTACCAGGTTGACTTGACAAAGGCATTTGACACCGTAAACAGGAAGGCTTTGTGGGAAGCTAGGATGTCCCGAAAAGTTTGTTTCCATTCTTCACTTGTTTCATGATGATATGAAGGCATGGGTCAATGTTGGGGGAAAACTATCTGAACCGGTGACATTTCAGAATGGTGTTAAGCAGGGCGACATTACAGCTCCAACCCTATTTGCCCTGCACTTTTCTATCGTTTTTGAGCAGGCCTTTAAGATCTGCAACCTTGGTATTTAAATTCGCTATCGTTCAACAAGAAAGTTGTTTAGCATCAGTAAGTTTGATGCAAAGTCGGAGGTTCACTTGTCACTGATCAGGGATTTGCAATATGCTGATGACTGTGATCTTGTGGCTCACTCGGAAGGAGGTATGCAGCATGTCATGGACGCTTTTTCTAATGCGTTCACTGCATTGGGATTGACTATTAGTTTGAAAAAGACAGAAAGGAAGCCATATCGTGAATCAAGTATCTTTGTAGTAAAAGACTGAAGGCTGTTTGCATGTTTGTGTATCTTGGGAGCATGTTGAGCATGTTCTGTCATCTTGATGTGGAAATTTCAAAACCGCGTACAAAAAGCTAGCGACGCATTTGGAAAACTGAATAAACATCTGTGTTCTCAGCACGGAATTTCATTTAGCACAAAGCTGAAGGTCTATCACGCATGTGTACTTGCAGCACGCCTTTACACTTGCGAGACGTGGGTGGTCTATCGCAGACAAAATGAAAAGGCTTGAAAGTTTCCACCAATACTGCTTACGTCATATCCTTAGCATTACCTGGCAAATGTCTGTTTGTGATGTAGAAGTGTTAGAGAGAAGCGGCTGTGATAGTGTCGAGTCCTTGATACTAAAACATCAACTTCGGTGGGCAGGTCACCTCGTCAGAATGGATGACAACCGCATTCCAAAGCAATTTTTTTAAGTTGAGCTGCGAACAGGGAAGAGAAATGCCGTCAAACCAAAGATGTGCTTTAAGGACTGCATCAAGGATGCACTGAAGAAATGCAACATTCCTTGTGAGCACTGGGAAGAATGTGCATCTGATCGCAATAATTGAAATGAGGCTGCTAGTAGCGGAAGGCGGTGTCACTTTGAAGATGAGAAAAGGAGGCACGGAAAGCTTAAAAGAGATGTGCCTATGGGCGGCCCTGTTGAACTTCCTGAAGACACCCTGCACGCAGCTCAATCTGACGTGTACAGATTGGGGTAGAGTGTGTTTGTCGATAGCTGGTCTAAGGAATCACTTGAGAGTGCACCGATGGGAGGTGGTAACGGACTATAAAACCGTAGACGTCCAGCAATTGAAATTTGATATTTGTGGTAAAATATGCGGATTCATGCGACATTTTAAATTGTATGATAATGTACCACCCGCTTTTGGACCTCTTAAGTGCCCTGTTTGTGCCAGAGTATGTAGGTCCCTTGCTGGGATAAGGAGCTACATTCGTACAGCACATCAGCAGATATTCTCCAAAAAGATAGGAAGTAATGGTCGTACTCGAATACAAGTTGGCAACCACCATATATATATATATAAGTATGTATGTATGTATATATATATATATATATATATATATATGTATTTTTATTTGATGCTCATATTTGAATAGACGCCCCGTTTATTTATTAAACAGTATAATTATTTATTTTCGTCTAGCGGCCTGAATGTTCGAGAAATCCTACTAAAAAATTACGCTCTCTGGCAGGATTCGAACCTGCGTACCGCTGGGCAAAAGGGGCTATCGCTAATTCCGAACCCTCGTATAATCTACTGTTTAATAAATAAACGGAACGTCTACTCACACACGAATATCCACTAAGAATAGCATTTAAAATGATAAAGATCTGTCGGATTAATAACAACATCCATTCTAATATATATATATATATATATATATATATATATATATACTATCGCACAACATCTAAAAACACATTCATGTCCAAATTAACAATAAAGGAAAATACTTGTTGGCAACGTCAATATACTACACCACGAAAATAATAAATAAAAACTTCAAGTTCTCGAGGTCCTCTTTATCAAAATCACTCAACCAATACTCAATGAAATTTATTACGAATACAGCAAAAATATATTAAAGGGCATAAACATTTAATGCCATTTTACATTTCTACCAATATCCGGCCAGCTGCCTTATATTGAAACGCTTGTTTCGTAAAAAAAATTACATAGCTACAACGGATAAATTTTAAAATAATTACAGATTTTATCCTTGAAGATGATCTTGGAAAAGATCGAAAGTACATGGGTTAACAAAAACTACAACGCATCCCTCGATGAATTTTATCTTAACATCAAGAAACTGATTGGACAACTAGAAAAGATCAATATAGTATGGCTATAATATTCAATGAAACATTTTTGAATGAAGATATGCTGTCTATATATATATATATATATATATATATATATATATATATATATTACTGGATGAAATAGATAAATTGACGCAACTTTATATTTTTAATTTCGTGCATGGGCGTTGTTTGTTTTTTTTATTTTGTCAGCTGCACTGGGTCAGTTGGACACCGTCTGTGAGAAAAAAAGCACTATGTTGAAATTCATTCCGCCAGAAATTTGGAAATGGCATGCTGTGCTGCTTGGCATTCGCACAGAAAGCTCCAGTACGAATATTTCAGAGTGTTCGGGCGTCAATCTGGGGACAGTGCAAAGGATTAGGAAACTGTTCGATGAGTCTAATGGTGATTACGAAGGTTTTTGGAGTGGTCACTAGTGATGGCATTTTGCCTCCATTCATCTTACCCACAGGGCCTCAGACTTAACATAGAATGCCTCGAGGAGGTAGTGCTGCCTGGGTCAAGAAGGTGGCTTCTGGAAGAACTTATGTCTGTGTTATATACCCTGCCTATGAACAGTAATGGGTAAGTCCTAATCCTCATAAATACATTGGACACTATTGTAAGTGAGGGTAATATGATGTCTAAGTAGTCCACCACTAGCAGTGGCTTACCTACTTCACGGCGCTGGCGAGTATTGTTTTTTTTTTGATGTTATAAAGATTACCATTTCATTTCCAACCTCCGTTTTGGTTATTCCTCATTCCGTAACCCTTTCTAGGTTACAACAGTCTGGCAACAGGACGCTGCACCATGCGACACAAGCAGGAGAACCTAGTCATGGCTGTCAGACAATTTCTGCGACCACATCAGCCCTGACATCTGGTCACCTAACTTTCCAGACGTCAACCTCTTGTTTATTATGTGTGGGGCTCAATTGAGCGAGAGACCAACAAAACTCTTTGCAACACCAAAGATGAACTGAAGGCAAGGATTATAGCAGCATTCACCAACTTAAACAAGGAGACCGTTCAGAAGAGTTGCAGGAGATTCCTAAGTTTTCTGGAAGCCAATGGCGATTTTATTGAATAAATTTACTTTTTAGTATTTCTAGATATTTTTGTGTAATTTTGGTAAATATCTTTGAAAAGGAGATGTCAATGTTATTTTGACGTAATTCAAACAATTTATCCATTGCTCTCTCTCATATATATATATATATGATTAATACAAATATAAAATTTGTCATTTAGCTTATTGATGTTATACTGAGCACCCCTATTTATTTATGTCTGCACACTCATGCGTGCATAAATAGGTTATAGAATCCGGACAAAATTTGATAAATTAGGCAAATTGAAAAACTTTTACTTGCTTGATTACACATTTCAACATCGTTAGAAAAGCTTCCTCAGAACAAAATAAATATATGTGTTGCAATCTTAAATTGTTCAAATATTTTACGCTAAACTGACATGCCTCGGTTGGGATGTCGTTATTTAAATTTGCGTTCTTTTGGTCTATTTGTCTTCTTTTTTTTTTTTTGCTTTGCCGAAAATAAAAACAACACAATGTCATCTGTGTATCTTATATTTAGATTACGCCCACCAATAATGAATCCTGATAGGGTCATCAGATCCATTAGGATAGCGCCATCGCTGTAGGGGGTTGAATAAATCTGGGGCGAAGACATATCCTTGTCTCAGGTCCTTTTCTATAGCTTGAAGAAGTACTTTGTTTGCTGGTAAAAATGAGGCACTGTAAAGCCTTTAAGGAGTTTAGTTTTCGTGACTACGTGCAATTCGGTATGTTAAATAAGAGTAAGCCTTTACAATTTGAATAATGATTTTTGCAACTAATACATGAGAAGAGCAAAGAGAAAAATGCAAGTCAATTATAACCCAATGAATGCAATTCCTTTGCTGTTAATATGATTTGGAAACAATGTTTTGTTTAAATAATTGAATTGATATTAAATGAACTACCAGCAATAATAATTAGGATTACAAAATGTCAAAGCCTACACAAATCATGTCTCATCATTTATCCAACTAGGCTTTATATATATATATATATATTATATTATACACACACACACACACACCATTTACCAGATTGTAGTGACCTCCCAGAAAGTCAGGGAAGATGGTAGCAATGAGTGATCATATAAAGGGAGAGGCTACCATCTCAACTCACCGTGACTCTCGATGTTTCTCCATAATATTTCAATTAGCCATGAGCAGAAATTTAACATGTGTAAGTCGATGTTATTTTTGTCTGCTGGTCCGTGAGGAAAGATATGTGGCTGGCTAGACTCAAAGCAGTAGTGCTTCTTCAAACGATATTTCTTTTCCCTTTTAACTTAGAATAGAGATGGCCAGCAGATCTCGGCCTCAAAGACATCAGAGGATCCACCTCCTTTTGGGTGCACAGAGGAGAATAAAACGGCAGAAGTATGTATGGTAAGTACTTTGATTTTTATCTCTTCAATTTTCTGTACCTCTTAAAGTAACCTAAGCATTATCAATTATTAAACATTTTAAGATCATTAAATGTAAACGTGTCCTCAAAGAGGTTAAGTCGCCTTAGGTATGACGATAAACTACATCTGACAGCAAGGCCTCTGATCGGGAGGTTTTGGGGAAAGCGGATTTGTAATAGTGTGTTAAATTTTGCTAAGTTTTATATTCCTCCTCACTTCATTCAATTTGAAGTGTTAATGCTGATAAAGCAAAATGTTTTGCTCTTAAATTCTCTTCAATTTTGACTCGACTCATCTATCATATTTTACAGCAAGGCTACCTTTTATATCGAGAGTTAAAATACTTCAAACGTTACATGTAAATATTTCTTTTTCATTTAATTTAGGATGCAGATGACCAGCAGCTCTCAGCTTCAAAGGATCCCTCTACTCTTGGGTGCATGGAAGAGAAAACGACAGAAGCATGTATGGTAAGTAATTTATTTTATCTACCCAATTTTTGAAAATCTGCCAACATATCCAATTCACATCAGAATTTTAGTTAGCAATGAAGATTATAGAATATCCCACTGCATGTTTTGATACTGCCAGAGAAATCCGGTACAACTTTACCAGACTTTCAGCTTAAAAATGAGTTTCTTTTATCATCTCAGCCTCATAACCAAAAATCACACGGACTTAATAGTATCCCTAAAGTAAAAGGGCTCCTATTTTTCTCTATACACTGCAAACATGCCTTTGCTATTTCTTGTTGGAAATTCTCTTCTATAGTTCCAGTTTTAAGAACTCGGGCAAACCATCCAAACCTCCTCACTATCGATATATTAGCCTTTTACATATTTTTGGCAAAATACTGGAGGCACTAATCAACTCTGAATCAGTTAAGCATTCACCTGATAAGAAATATGGCTTTCACTTCAAGTTAAATAAGAGTTGTATTGAACAGCTACTCTTCCAGGGACCTACATTATTTCCATTCCATGACCTAACTGAGGTCATCAATTCTGAACTCGATATCTGTGCCTATGATACTATTAAGACAGAAATCCGATTGGTTTGATAAGGTGAAACAGGCAGCTGATCTCAAGTCACCTATCTGTTAACAAGGGCAAGGAATGGCTTGCTAATTTTACCTCCAAAATGAAACTGCACTTTTAATAGTCCCAGAGAATCCCTACTTTACCTTACATCAGTCTGGCTAATGCTAACATCCAAGAGTGACTCATTGCACCATCTCAAATTAACGTTTTCCACTAGTATGTAGCAGAAAGATTGTCAAATCTACTGCTACGTCTGCTGTTAGAAAAGCCTCCTAGAATCCGACCATGCTTTAAATACTGTTGCCACATTTTTAGAGATTCTTGATCAAACAAATAATCTGCCATATTATTGGGCCTGACCTGGCAACACCAACTCAGTTACTATTATACTGCAGATTCCCTGTTCTATTTCTATAAATACTTCCCTGGTATTTTTTTTCTGAGGACATTTTCTCTATATTAGATTGGCAGAAAAATCTCATTTTACAGTTGAAATAGATGTAAATCTTCTATATACCAGCACTTCTCGCCAGTGTAACATGACCAGCTCCTTCCTTCCCAGTCATATTTGCCTTTCAAAAATTTCAATACAATGTCAATCATTTTCTTTTATCAAGTTGTTTTCACTCAATTTTTTCTAGTCATATTCTCCAATACTCAGTAATCCCTTGCATCTTAGCTTTCTTGCCACAATTATAAGTTCTAGATTATTCTAACATCTCTTCCAAATAGATTCACAGCAATAGAGACTTGTCAAATGCTACTAGAGAAAGGGAAAGAAAACAAGTTCCAAAATTACAATCTGAACAATTGTCACCTTTAATATGCAAAGAGAGACAAGAGGAAAAAAAATAAACCAATTACAAGCCAATGTACGCAGTTAATATGGTTTGTAAACAAACTTTAATTTAAAAATTTGAAATTAATATCAAATTATCTACCAGCAATAATTCAGATTAGAAAATATCCAAGCCGACACCAGTCATGTCTCATAACCCACTGCACTTTTAGATACTGCCAGAGAAATCCAGTTCAATTTCATCTAAATGTGCACTTAAAAACAGTTGTTTCTCTTATCCCTTAGCGTTGTACCCCAAAAAGCACATGGACATAGTATTCTTGAAGAAATCAACTCTGGTGAACCACCCGATCCCCCCTAACTCTTAGCCTATCAAAAACGTCTCTTCAAGTGATTAATCACAGTACTGTAGTACGTTACATTTTTAGAGGAAGGACAACTTAAAAAAAAAAAAAAAAAAGGGGGGGGTCACTTCCTCCTATATCTTTAAACAATACATGCTGTATAAAAATAAGATTAAAACTAAGCCAAAAACATTAAGCAGCAGTAAAAACACTGAAGACAATTTTGACAGTTTCTTAGTTGGTGAGGTTTTCAGAAGTTTGTTCAAATTTACAACAGTAAAATAGTAAACTGGAAGAAGGTACAACAGCACAAAAAGTACAATGAAGAGATTCTAAAGTTAGAAACTGCAGTTTTGTGCACAAGGATATTTCATTAGAGACTAGAAGTGAAATTGATGGCAAATAGAATACATATTCAATTTACAGTGACTTTTACAATTGTATCTTCCATAGAAGTTTTTGATATTACCAGGAATGTCTAGCATTAGTACATAAAGACTTAATACAGTAAGAACAATTATAATTCCCCTTTAACCTCATGAGTGCTCTTAGGGTATCTAACTGAAGTGGGTTTTAAAAAATTCACTAAATTAACTAATTGAAATCTCCCCCCCACACAAGAAAAGATTAATTTGTTTCCTTCCCTCAGCAGGAACAACCCAGAAGCAGCATTTTCAATCACATAAGCGATTTAGACCAGAGAATCGACTTTCTGCTTCAGCAACTCATTGGGAATACAGATTTAGTGGAGCCTTATATTGATCCAGAAATATGGAGTTATTTCACTAGTGAGAAATTTCAACAGGAAATTGATAGTTTCTTGACTGCAAATTTGGAGACATAACCATTCAGAACATGCAGCTGAAAAATTACCAGTTTACCAGGAAAAATGCATACACTCAATTCCAAGTCATCTTGAAGAGACATTTAAAAAAAAAAAAAAAAAAAAAAAACCTTGAGGGCTCTGCACATGTATCTTGTCAGAACAAATAAAAAGTCATTTTCTAATGTTAAAGCAATTTATTTTTGTTTTTAATCCAAGAAATGGATAATGTATAAAGTCCAAGTTAATGAAAAAGGTACAACAGCACAGAACTGTAACAGTGAAAGGTTTATAATGTCAATTTACAAAAGTTAAATAAAAAAAAAAAAAAAAAAAAAAAAAAAACTCCAATTGTAGTAAGATTTTACAAACTAATAAAAAAAAAGACCAAAGAATGATAGTGACTAGATCAATTTCTCAGCCACAAATGAATTTAAATGTCAAATAATTTATATTGAACATGTCACAAGACAAATTTCTACAATGAGGATGTAATAACTGCAAGCTAAGCCACACTTATGGGGATGGGGGAGGGTGCTGCTGAAAGCTCTCAGCCCAACCCACTTCCCAAGTTCATTTGTGCTACTTTACAGAATCCTTGCACTTATTCGAACCTTTTTTCAGACCATTAAATCAAGTCAGCAAACAAGTTCAACGCAGCTACTGTGAAACTCACGTAGAAAGGCCTCTCATATGCAAACATTAGGTTACAAACGTGCCACACTAGAGTTGCATGCTGTTGGGTATACAGAAAGTTTCAGCATGAAATATGGTTAGCAGTGATCTGGAACCCAAGGGGACAATTCATAGTCGTTAAAGTTTCCTCAGTCAACAAGAGAAAAATCAGTGCAAGGGTTGTGGCTATTCAAATTACTGTATATAGAAAAAAAGCCAAACAATTAATGCAGAATAGTACACTTGCTGTGCTGATGAAGAGGCATTAAAAGAAACAGCAAAAGGAAGCTGCAGAAAAGGGACTTTTTTTTGCGAGATAATGCACCTACACAAAAAGCTGGCAAGATAAGTTATTAATTTGGGCTCTAGTGCTTATGCAAATCAACTGAGCAGCCCTTCCATTCTTGGTTAGGCTGAGAATTTTTCAGCACCCCCCCAATGCAAATATTTCTACTTTTTAAAGCAGAACTATTTAACTTTTGTTTTTTATCAAACTTAAAAACTTAACCAAAAAAAGATCAAATTCCTGAAAGTAAATAAAATCTAATTGTCTAAGCTGATCAATTATTACAAGCAAATCAATTTGAACAATTTTTTTTTTTTTATACATAAAGGAATTCTAAATTTAGAACTTGCAGTTTATAAGCTAGAGTGTACTATGAGTACACACTTAAATGCATCAACCAGCCAAGTGTAAATGATAAGATTACAAAACAAAGCCTGGTTACTAAAAATAAGAAGAGATGTGTATGAGTAAGTAAACTTTTAATTTCAAGGATACTGACATGAATAACAGCTGAAAATTAACAAGGATATCAGAATGGTGATTAGAATATTCATGTCATTAATACAAAATGAGTGCTTCACTTTTTTTTTTCTTTTTCATCTAGTTTAGCAGCAAGTGTGGACTCTGCCCAACATGAGTGTATGGAGATCTAAAGCATCAGTTTAGTCAACTTCTTCAATTGTAGGGCCACTGCTTCCTGAAGTTGCACCATCAGAAGCACCAAAGTTAGGCATGCCACCTGGCATACCTCCTGGCATGCCACCAGGCATACCACCTGCAGCTTGGTACAGCTTTGTAATGATAGGATTGCAAACCTTCTCAAGTTCCTTTTGCTGATGTTCAAATTCTTCCTTTGAGGCCAGTTGGTTTTGGTCAAGCCAGCTGATTACCTCTTGGCATTTGTCAACAATAGTCTTCTTGTCATCCTCGCTGATCTTGTCTTTGATTTTGTCATCTTCGACTGTTGACTTGGTGTTGAAAGCATAGCTTTCAAGAGAATTCTTTGCAGAAACACGTGCACGCTGCTCATCATCCTCTTGACGGTACTTTTCAGCATCATTCACCATTCTCTCGATTTCTTCTTTGCTGAGACGACCTGTAGAAAATAAAGCAGATTACTTAATGTATGGCCTGTCAGATTTTCAGTTGCAACTGAAAATCCTCACCTCTTAAGATTTCACACAAAGAAATAAACCAACTTACCTTTGTCATTTGTGATGGTGATCTTGTTTTCTTTACCGGTGCTCTTATCAGTAGCAGATACGTTGAGAATGCCATTAGCATCAATATCAAAAGTAACTTCAATTTGTGGTACGCCTCTTGGAGCTGGGGGGATTCCAGTAAGCTCAAATTTTCCTAGCAAGTTGTTATCCTTTGTCATTGCTCTTTCTCCTTCATAAACTTGGATGAGTACACCAGGTTGATTATCGGAGTATGTTGTGAAGGTCTGTGTTTGTTTTGTTGGAATGGTTGTGTTTCTCTTAATCAATGAAGTCATAACACCACCAGCAGTTTCAATACCCATTGAGAGTGGCGCCACATCAAGCAGCAACAGGTCTTGGACAGCTTTATCTTTCTCACCAGAAAGTATGGCAGCTTGGACAGCTACAAGAAGATATATATTAATTAATATCAACACAAAAAGAAACTGATCATCGATTCTTAAAAAGACAAATCCCACAAAACAATGTTTTAATATAGAAGAGATACTAACGCTTTAGAGAGAAATGTTAATTGCTTATAAAAAGGAATTAAAAGAAATTTATACCATTTGAAAATGGCTAAAAAATTATAAGTTGCCATATATATATATATATATATATATATATATATATATATATATATATATATATACACACACACACACACACACTTTTATATTATGATGTACCATTACTGCTAAACCTCATGCAACCACAAGGAAAAGTAACAGTTACGGATTTACTTTTAGCATGTTGACTCACCGCACAGTTAACTGTCAACTATGAAATGATAACACATGCTGAAAGAAAAAGATTTAGGATCAATTTACCTGCACCATATGCAACAGCTTCATCAGGATTAATGCTCTTATTTAATTCCTTTCCATTGAAGAAGTCTTGCAAGAGTTTTTGAATCTTGGGAATTCGAGTAGAGCCACCAACAAGGACAATTTCCTGAATAGCAGACTTGTCTAATTTGGCATCTCTCAAAGACTTTTCAACTGGCTCCAAGGTTCCTCTGAAGAGATCAGCATTCAATTCTTCAAATCTGGCTCGAGTGATGTTAGTGTAGAAGTCAATGCCTTCATAAAGCGAGTCAATCTCAATGCTAGCCTGGGTGCTGGATGACAGGGTTCTTTTAGCACGCTCACAAGCGGTTCTCAGTCTTCTAATGGCACGTTTGTTTTGAGCAAGGTCTTTCTTGTGCTTTCGCTTGAATTCTTGGATGAAGTGGTTCACCATACGATTATCAAAATCTTCTCCACCAAGATGTGTGTCACCTGCAGTTGACTTGACCTCAAAGATTCCATCTTCAATGGTCAGAATGGAGACATCAAAGGTACCACCTCCAAGATCATAAATAAGGATGTTCTTCTCGCCACCGGCCTACAAGTAAAAAACAAAAATAAAGTCTGCACAAACTTTAAAGTTTAATTAGAAATATCTGAATCAAGATTCAACTGACTTACCTTTTTGTCCAAACCATATGCAATAGCAGCAGCTGTTGGTTCATTGATAATTCTCAAGACATTAAGCCCAGCAATGGTTCCAGCATCTTTAGTAGCCTGTCGCTGAGAGTCATTGAAGTAGGCAGGAACTGTGATTACAACATTAGAGACACTCTGCAAACAGATTAAGACAGCATTAGCAAAATTATCAGATAATGATTAGCCAACTTTAATTCAGGTCATTACAAAATACAGATTATGATATTGAACAGAAAAAGCAATAATTACCTTGCCTAAATAAGCTTCAGCAGTTTCTTTCATCTTTGTCAAAACCATAGAGGAGATTTCCTCAGGAGAGAAGATCTTGCTGTCACCTTTAAAGTTAACTCGCAATTTTGGTTTGGTACTATCATTTATGACTTCAAAAGGCCAGTGTTTCATGTCGGTCTGGATAGACTGATCATCAAACCTTCTACCAATGAGACGTTTAGCATCTGAAAGAGATCCGGTTAAAAGTTTCCTAAAGCAGCAGCATTTTGAATTGGCTGTTTCAGAATCTCACCCTTACATTAAAGTTCATATTACAAATAAAAGATAGATTGTTAATTTGCTTGGAATATTGTAATGCTATCCCTATTTGTTGTGTTGAACATGCAAGTTCTTCAATTAGGATACGATACAATTGAATAATTACCTTGCTCTTTCAGTACCAAATGGTTTTAGTTATAAATTCAAGCAATAGTAACAATTTAGAAAAAATTAGTTAAGCTTACAACTAGATTAGCAGTTTTACAAATAAGAGAAACATTTCAATAATTGAGAAATTATTTGATAAAAAGTTGTCTTACCAAAGATAGTATTTTCAGGATTCATGGCAACTTGATTTTTGGCAGCATCTCCAATCAGACGTTCTGTGTCTGTAAATGCTACATAACTGGGAGTTGTTCGATTTCCCTGGTCATTAGCAATAATTTCAACTTTGCCATGTTGGAACACACCAACACAAGAGTAGGTGGTCCCAAGATCAATCCCGACTGCTTTAGACATGCTGAAGATTATAGAAGAATAGGAAAAATAAGTGAACAACAAATTTCGGAGTTGACAAATCATTTTTGTACATGGAAAGCGTATGAAAATGGTGGATATAAAGATTAGTGTAAAATAGAGAGAATTTTCTTTTTAAAAGCGCCTATTGACGAGTATTAAGGCCTTTTAAATATTCCTATCTAAAGATTTTTTTTTGGCTACAGAAAAAAAAAAAAGTGAGAAGACATCATTAGAGGGGAAAAACAAACAAAAAAACACCAAAAAGATTGCCAGCGAGACAAGTAAATTATTTTCTTAATATAAAAATTAGAAATTCTTGTTCCTCCTCGGTAAATTTGTTTACTGTAAAAAAAAAAAAAAAAAAAAAAAAGATCTTTTCACACAAGGTGTTGAATACGAGAGGATTGTGGCGGGGTAGGGAGTGGGGTTAATTGCTCAAGAAAACAACAACAACGCACGAGACTTCGGTTTTGCTTTGCTCCCACTAAAAAGCTTTTTTTTTTTAATGGCAGAGTACCCGACCCCTGAAAGAATCACAAGAACCCCCACAAGAGTGGGTGCCCGTCCTTAGAGAGAGAAAGAGAGAGAGATATGCAGAGGAAATTGGTTGATAAATCAAGTACTTCTAAGTGCATTTCGAAAACGATTTTTCGAATACTACACGAAATATAAAATGCCTCCGCATATTGTCATATTTAATGAGCTTTCAAGGCGACCGACAACTACATACGAATCCCCATATGTTTAGCAGCAAAAATCATTAAATGGTATTTTATTTTTTATCACAAAAGCAAAAAGAAAAAGAACTATAAAAACGAATCTTTTTTTAATGAAAGCAAGCAGAGTGGAACAAAGAGTGAAAAGAAAAAAAATCGACAGTCGAAGGAGGAGGACGACAACTAAAACTGCTAGTTTAACCAAATGGGAATAAATATTCCCGATTTTTCCTGCCAGCAAAATTCGAGAAATTAGGCCATTGCTTTTTCAACGTTGCTAAACACGTACAAAAAGAATGAACTCGCTTTTTATCAAAAGTAGAAATAGAAATTAATGCCTGAAAGACTTTATTTTCATATAAAATGCAGTCTTTTCCACATACAAGAACGCAGAATAATTACGCTTTTTAATATTTTTTAAAGAGTAAAAATCTGTGCAAATTCAGGACGAAACCAACCGTTGAATTATTTAAACACGATTGTCAAATATTATTTTAAGTCTTTTACGCTTAACCTTGACCGCCATTTTCATCGATGGCAGACGCGATTCTCTAGAAACTTCCAATTCAAAAGCTAACAAAAAATTAAATATAAATCGCAGAAGACGAAAACAGAAAAATGCAAATAAAAAAAAATGTTTCGTAAATTATTAGTGACAGCTTTAAATCGCTGAAGGGGGAAAAAATCGTATAGAAAGAACGTAAAAAAAAAAAAAAAGTGAAAAAGAAAGACACTTGTAGAGAAGAAAAATGTTTACAAATTTAGATTTATATGAAAAAGCTTTTATTTAATTCTAGTTTATTAATAATTGACGAGAATTGTATCAAATACAATTCTATTTATACAAATAATCGTTCTTTGTTGCTGTGAAAAAGCTTCGAGAAGATTCGGCTTCGAAAAATATGTAAATCGTTGGAGGAGAAACTTCCCGAAAAAAGAAAAAAAAAAAAAATTGCATTGACTTAAGCAAGAAAGAAAAAGAACTGAAGAGATTTCTAAGAATATAGAATAAAAGAAAAAAAAAAAAAAAAAAAAAAAAAAGGCCATTATGATGCTAATAATCAGTATTTACAATAAACAAGTCTCTCTCTAGAATATTCATTAATGATGATCACCATTAAAAATATCCGGACGACATTTAAAATGAAAAAGGGGGAAAAAAATTCAGCGACGCTTCGAAGCCATTTGAAAAGACATTAAATAAAAAATAAAATACAAATTGTTTACATTTCTCGTTTTGTTTTTTGTTTTTTATTAAAAAAAAAAAAAAAAAAGATCCCGGTTAATTTTTTTTTTTTTTTAAGGATTTTTAAAAATTAAAGTGAATAGTAGATAGTTACGATAATTGAGAGAGAAAAAAAAAAGTGGGACATTTGATTTCATAATCTATTTTTATAAGATTCTTTTGTTGAGGATAAAGAGGGTGTGTTAATTATATATATATATATATATATATATTATATATACAGATCCCCCCAAAATATGTCCGGAATTGGATCGTTTTTTTTTTAACCTTGTTAATTTGTTTAAAAGAGAAAATAAAAATAAAGAAATAGATGCAAAGAAATTTTAATTAGAAATTTAAAAGTTTGGGTTTAACCCCAGCTTAAGGATTTTTTTTTTTTTTTTTTTTTTTTTTAGATTAAATTTTTTTTAAATAATTAATTAATCAAACAGCAAGGAATAAAGAGAGTTTGACGGAGCTAGTTTCTTTAAAAAGCAAAGGAAGCTTCTGGAGAAGAGATACAATTCTGTAATTTCAGTAAGAGAAAACAAAAAAAATCGCAAACATTAAATATTCACTAGAAATAGAACCAATATTTGAAGAACACAATGAAAAAAAGAAAATTACTGGTGAGGAGAGAAAAAGATGGAACCATTATTTATGCAAGAGACTAGCGGTCATAAAAATAAGGTAGATTTTTATTTTTTTTGCTGTTTAAACATTATATACAGAGCATGAATTAAATATTAAAAAGAAACAATAAGTGAACGTAATTTTTTAAAAAGCAAAAAATCGCCAATAATCTCCAATAAATCTTATTTACTTACCTTTCTAAGCTCGGAGCCCTCACGATATTCGGCTTGCCTGCACGTGGTAACACGCCTGAAAAGACAGTTATTCACTTGCGTTTGGCTGAAGCAATGATGATGTGACGTCACGCACTCAT